ATTATAAAATACCTCATGAATATTTTTATATTGAATACATGTTAAATAATAATATTTTGGATATAAAATATGCTTTAAATTAATTTCTACTATTTCATTTTTACTTTTTAAAAATGTGGCTACTAGAAAATTTAAAATTACATGTAAGAGGACTTAAAATTTGCAGAAAAAAATTTTTTTGGAGAGGTTTTTGCTATAGGGCACGTGTGCTCGCCAGAAAGACAGAGAGATAGAAAGTGAGAAATCAACCCCCCAGGGAAGATGGCCATGCTGAAATCCCTTCTCCTCCATTCTCCTCTCAGTATCTTGGGCACAAATGCAAATGCACCCAGCATGAGGTTAAGCCACCAGGTCTGGGACTCCAACTACAGTCAACTACATGGGAGTTCAGCGAAATAGCCATTATGCTAATTGCTGGTCCCTGCAGAAAAATTTAATTAAAGTATGAGTTCATTTTGGTGTAAGAAGTTTTTGAAACCCATGCATTGTTTCTTTATAATACATATTTTCCATGAACTTTAAAAAAAATCCCTCATATTTGGTTTGTATTGTATTTTTATGGGACATCATGGACTTTCATTTTGCTTACTACTTCTCTACCACACTTTTTAGCTAGATTCTATTTTTCTTTTTTCTTTTATACATTGTGTCAATTGAAAAAAAAAAAAACAAACATGTGTCAGATGCCTGGATATATAAATATCATTTAACTAAGGCCTTGGAACTGTTTTTATAGACAGGACTCTCGGTCATATTCTCTCTTTAAAATCCCTATATTTTACTCTTTGAAATTCAATGTAAGACAATGTATTATTTAAATGTATAAATTCCCTTTTCTTAATTTAAAAATAGTGGAATTGAAAACTACATATTTTTACTCTCAAAAAATTGTTTTAAAATGAAGCTATTGATAAAGAATCTTGGATTTTATTTCTATTTATACTAACTAGTTAGTGAATTGAGAAATGATACTTCCTCATTTTAATCTATGTTAATTTACTATAAAACATTAGATTGTCCTTAAAAGCTAATTTTAAAATTTCTTTTTTTTCTCTAAATTTAAAGCAGTGATTAATGGATTCTTATTTGGTATTTGAAGGATTTTTAAAAATTTTGTTTTCCTGAGGATCAGTGGCTTGAAATGAAAGAAAGCTCCTAGCTTTTCCTGGAGGTAAATACTATCAATGGCGTCATCTTTGATACACTAGTGTGGTGGAGGGAGATGACTCATAACATTTGATGATTTCTGTAGTATAAATATCCCTGCCATCTCAATTAATGTCAGTCTATCAATTGACTGGCAAAACTTCAGAAAATTTAACACTCTCAAATCAGTAAGAACTAATTCCAACATACATATTTACTTCCTCTTTCTTCTTTCTTTCTTTCTTTCTTTCTTTCTTTCTTTCTTTCTTTCTTTCTTTCTTTCTTTCTTT